ACTAAATGTGGTATATAAATTCATCCTCCATTGGGTTCTGCTTAATAGCTTAATGGCACTTCAAACATGGTAGAACGGTGGGTACGAACACGGCTTTCGGCCATAACATTAGGCCCGAAATTCGAACTGGAAATCGGCGGCCATGAACATAATACCACCGTAGGCAGCACCGCTGGGCAACAACGATAGGGTCCACAAATGGCCTTGACGAACCAGGGTGAAATGCCAACCACTGGGAAAAATTGAAACTCACCGGGGCAGTTCTAACGACAGAACGAATGGTGGAGACTTTGTCCATTTCTTCTGCCTCATGAGATTCACGCAGCTTACTCTGTTTAGAAGACAAGACAGAGGTGCTCACAACCTTGCGTTCCTGGGGGAAAATGCTTGTGAGAATGAAGTTAATACCTCATAGACCGGAGAAGTGGACGATATGTCATCATTTATAAACTCATCTATAGAGAGCATTAATCTGCTATGGGTGCCTACTTTCATCTGCATGGATATGTAGAAGTTCACCCTCCACATGAGGCTCACGCGAGGAGGCAACCAACTTGTCCGTTTTCCGTTGGTCAACTGGAGACCGGGAGCGCGAATGGCCAGAAGCTGAACGTGCTTTGTCCGATTTGCGCTTCTGCGGCCGAGATTTTGAACGAGTTGAAGGCTGTTGTTTCTCGACAGGGGCTGCTACAAATAGGTGGTACATGAACAGGATCTATTTAATGCTGTACCTTTAACCGGTGTTTTCAGCTCCTCTAAAGTTGAGTGCAACCTTTACAAATCGTAAGGACGAACGCGAATACTTACCATCTAGTAAACTCAGCAGTGTGTTCTCCCAGAAACAACTGTAGATCCTTAGCCATACTGCTTTCGTTCTTCTTATTGGCAACCATCACCATGATGTAGTCTGGGAGCTCCTCGTCAATAAAAGCACCCAATTGTTTGAGCTTGGTTGTGACATGTTCCTTGCCGATAGAGCATATATTATGGGAAAATTTTGAGAAATACCTTCACTTTCAGCAAGAACTCTGCATCGAGTGCCATTCGCGAGAGACAGCGGACAATATTGAATTACGCGCCTTATAGGTGTCTCGGCCAGTTCGATAGACAGGTCACAGGATTTCAAGGGTATTTCAAATACCCATGGAAAGATGCCTAAATCCAGAATCTCGCGAATTATACAGCGCCGTCAGTTTGTAGACCGGAGTCACGAGCGTCCTTGATGGTAGGTTCAAAAGCCTCCCGCGGTACGTTCGAAATCCGTTTCGTTTT